ACGAAACAAGTGCCAATGGCCCACAACACATTGAACCTATAAACGAAAATTTCGAATTCAACTTAGAAAACAAGTTACAGAAAGACGAAGCGAATCAGTTTGACCATTCTTGTTGAGATCTCTTTGGAGACTGACTCCATCCTGGTACTGGATACATAATTATATGTTACTCTTTTTGCATAATTTTATCATGAACGGAGTGATTCAAATGAGTGAGTTCTATATTTAAATTTCGTTGATAAAAAAAAGCTCAACGAAATTTGCCTTAATTATAAACTTGATAAGTTGCGCGTATGATGAACGTGTTGCAAAAGTTTTTATCGCACAAGTAAGTGGCGATAATCCGCCCATTTTTCAAAGAAATTAGTCATTCAATTTTGTTTGTTTTTTTTGTACACAAATCATATTTTGTCTCATTTTATTTATCATTGAGAAAATATGAGCTAAGCTATCGTCGCGAGATAGAGAAGACCGTAGGGCCCATGCAAGACCCTAACGACATCTATTGAGTTTTGTAGAAATCATTATGGTACTAACTACTTGGTTCAATATTTTTCCGTTCAATATAACTGGTAATTCTACTTAACAGTAGACTTGATGTGAAGCTCAGCGGCTTTACTGTTACTTAACATACTTTTAAGTTACTCAAACTAACTTAATAGCAAAACGTCAAACCAAATGGTATTTGTGCCCACTATTGTATGTGGACTCGCACAAGCTCATGGAAATGTTGTTCGGAATCAGTTATGAACAGTCATGATCAATTTCAATATTTTCATTCGACATGCCTCTCTATTCTGTTTCCACTGAAGCTATGTTTTCTTTTCCAATCGATACGAAAGCTTAAGCGAAATATTTTTCAAGAAAATTTCGCAACAAAATATTTTTTTTTCTTCATTTTTGTGTTTCTTCGCAATAAGATGTTGTCATCGACATTTTTGGAAGGAAACTTTTGCATTTAAAGTGTGATATGTATAGGATTTTGGACACAAACCAGGTGTGCATGTTGTTATCCACAGGCTCACATTTGTATCAAGATCAAGGCTTACGATGAATATTCCTTCTTAATTCATATTCATTCTCAAGTCGATTCGAATCCCGAAATCCGTGTCAATGCTTCGACTTGTAATTTGTATAAACATTCGGAGCCTAGGGTGGCAGCATCAACAAAATTCAAATTGACGTGCTGTTTTAGTTCAGAAAAAAAAATTACGAAATTACATTGATTTGCCTATTGAAATTGAGGGCGCTCGCATTGCCACAGTTCTTATTTAAGTCGTTTTCGGTCTTAGCTGCCACCCGATGATTTCGAAGCAATGTGCTCATGACAAAATTCCTTCTACAATCTGTAGCGAACAGAAATGAGTTCTGAGAATTTGACCGATTACTATTGTTGGTGATTACTGCGAAAGGTGATGAACCGACAAATATTTGTGTCGTTGAGTTCACTTTTCTGCTAAAAGATACGAGGCAAGTGTCTCAAGTGAAGATGAAGATGGAATGTTCTAAAACATTGCAGAAGACATCGGTCTTCTATCTCTTACCAGTAACACAAAAATAATTCAAATGTAAACAAGCGGTCTCGACTAATCCCATTTTCATACAAATTTGTTAATTGAAAATATCTTCATTGAATTAATCTCGTTGTTCGGTTAGACTAACCGGGTTAGTAATATCGCATAGAAAAGCACTTACCATGATTAAAGCACTCCATGAGCGAGTCTCTATGTGCATCAAATGTGAATGAAAAACATGTTTGTTTTTATTTGCGTTTATCATTTTTTAATCATGAATAAAATAAAACAATTGTTTTTTTTGTTTTTTTTCTTCTTCAATTATTTGTGTGTGTGTGTTTTAAGTTGCCTGAACTTCACCTAAAAATATATATGTATCTAAGTTAAGCTTATAATAATAGTACATCATACAATTGTATATATATCATAATGATAATAGTTCATAAAATTTGTGTGTCTGTGTTTATTCTTTCTTCAAATGTTTCTTCTTAGCTGGGCAACGTGTATCCTGTTGCTATTCCTTCTCAATAGGAATTCTCCACGATCATAATGCGAAATTTACTTAAACATATCGGGATTCATTATGGATTGGTTTCACTTTCACTTCACATTCGACCAGTGATTGCGATATCGCTCTCAGCATCTCATAGGATAACTGAACGAGATAATTCAGCTGGATGAGATGACGCAGTGACGCAGCGACGCAGCGACGCATCGCCCAAGTCTATCGCCTTAGTCTTTGTGATACACACACACAATTCGATGCCGTGCGTCACTAAATGGGACTGACTGTATAAGGATACCGCTGGGCGCATTGTGTGTATGTGTATCGCACAGACTCGGGTGATGCGTCGCTGCGTCATCTCAGCCAGCTGAATTATCTCGTTCAGTTATCCTATGAGATACTGAGAGCGATATCGCAATCACTGCATTCGACAAGCAATTGTTGTAATTGAGTTCACATCTTCAATGATAAATGACATCATATCTGGCGCGTATTACTACAATCCAATTGTTTATCATATTGATTTTTATTTACGTTGCTAAAAAAGGTACGCATTTTGTTTGGTAGCCACAAATTAGCAGTGTTATTGTTCATATTTCACGCATACAAAAAAGAAAAGTTCGTGATTTTAAAGATCATCAATGAATTTTGAAGAGAAAATATGTTAGCTATTCAATCTTGTTGCGAAATGGTGAAGTGAAGTTATTTTCTTTAATTGGAAATTGATTCATCTGACCAAAAAAAAGATGAATGAAAAATAAAAACACAAATAAAACGGAAGAATTGTTTCAGGTCGTTGCATGTTCATGACGCAAACAAATTGTCGTTTGGCATTTCATCGCTATTAAATGTTTGTTTAGAAATATATTTTTTCTGTTATCATTACTTTTTCTCTCAAATTTTGCCGTTGAAATTAAAATCAACTCATGACTTTATGTTTGAACCCAGGCATCGTTTGTCCACAAATACCGATTCACGGTGTCTAAGTTGAGGCAAAAGTTTTGGCGCAAAACGCGATTTGATTTCGAAACAGCACAATCTCAATGGCCATACAACCACCATTCAAAACATTCACCAGATGACAAAATGACGAATGAACATATTTAAAGCTCACAGCTGATGAATATTTGCTCTATATCGAAGAGTGAGTTGAATGAAATGTTTTTTTCTTTCTTAAAATGATACTCGGAAAAATCGAGAAAAATTCCCATGAAAATGATTCAAACGATAGTGTTGTATGTATGAAATTGGTGTTTATCATCAAGCCGTGTCTCAAAATGAACATACAAAATTCAATAATGATCGACCATATATCATTTGCTTCATTTTAATTTGATTGGTTTTTTGCTGTTGTTGACCTGACCCTTCCGAAAGAATAGAAAAAAAATAATAATATCTTTAACACAAAATTTTAATGAAAACATTCCATTAGATTCACATATGACAATAAACATGTCTCTAGAAGCTAATCATACATTTTATCATCATGATCCATGAATAACAATAAAATTCTACGTAAGAGTATATTGTACAATAGTTAAATGCAAAACGAAAAAAAATGCATACATGCAAAAATGAATAAAATGTTTCTTCTCTTTCGCCTGCTTCTTCTTCTTCTTCTTCTTCTTCTTCTTGTGTTTTTTTGTCTATATTTTCGGAATTGCCATTTTGGTCTAATATTCGTTTAGAATTGTCAGTTTTAGTAGCAATTACTTATTATATTTTCTTTGCCAATCACCTGAGTATATAAATGTGTGGAGGTTTTTGTGTCTGATCTGGCGTGCCACAATCAACCGATTTTTTTTTCTCGCTCCACTCAACAAGACTCTTATGTGACCCTTGTGATTCGTCTCTGAAATTCTGTGCCTCTAGTGCTCATCCGTTTTGTTTGTTTTTTCTTTAATTTTTGTATGCGATTCTTGTGTTTCCTGATTACTTGAGTTTGAGCGAGAGAAAAAGCACCCTCTCCTCAAGTCAATGCTCACTATGTTACTTCCTTATCCAATTCGGGGCGGGCAATCATCATCATCACCACTACTTGTCCCGTATCATTATTTTCTTTTGTACGCCGAAAAAATTCAAATGATAAACTTAACAAACTCTCTCTGATGGTCTTTGTTTCTATTTGTTTTTTTTCTCTCGGTCTAGCATTCTTCTTGTTGTAATTTGTAATATTCTCGTTTAAACACGTTTAAAACGTAACACATTAGATTTGTCGGTAGTTTTTGATTCAAATGTAAAAATAAACAATGATTTCTTTTGTTTTAGATCTAATCACTATAATATATTGTACATTTTCCCTTTTCGGTATTCTTCGATTTGTTAGTGTTTCTTCCTTCTCTCTCTCTCTCTCTCTCTCTCTCTCTCTCTCTCTCTCTCTCCCTGTTGTTGCCATGAATGATTTGCTTGAGCGCGAAAAACGTATTTTAACCAATTATTTTATGTTGAATGTACGTTAAATCCTTAGACTGTAATGAATATTTATAATGTCAAGATGTTAATATTTGTTGTTGTTTGCTGTTGTTTCTTTTAATATGTCTTAATTTGTGATATTACTTCCATGATTGCAGACGAGCTATTGTTTATTCTTCTTCTTTTTTCTCTCTTTTAAATCTAGCTTCTCTTCCTTTTTAGTTTAGACAAAAAGAAATGTGTTCTTAAAAAAATACCAACAATTTTCCGTAAATTTCATGATTTTTGTATGTTGTGTGATTTGAATTCATCCCGCACTTGATGTTTGTATGGCTAATTTTGGAATCAGGAAAATATTGTGTTCTGCCATGTGTTTTGTTTGTGTCTTTCACTTAACTCTCTGATGTGTTTGTTTTTATTTTGTATATGAGGAGGAGGGGGATGGCGTCTAAAGTTTAAATCTCTGGGTCATATTTGAGGCGCTTGACATTATGATTGTACTTGTCATCGTTGTCTTCGCTGTCGGTGCCTTCGAGTCGTGTCACTATTTGCTGATGATTCAATATCGATTGATGCGGCTGCGATGTGATGATTTGATGCTCTTCGTAAATGTGCTGCACAAATTGGGATGCACACAAACATATCGGTTAGTGGATTTGTCAACTTTTAATTTAATATCTCGAATGGTTTTGTTTGCTTGAAATACAATGGGAAAAAAACTTACTCCTCTTTCAGCTGGCACCGTTGATACAATGACATTTGGTGAGCTCGAATCGACATACGATAGTCTAGTTTTCGAAACAATAAGGGAAATTGGGTTAAAATTTGATGTTATAACTTTATTTCTTTTTATTGAAATAATTTTTTTCATTTCCAAATGGTTCTTTTCTCCATTTTGATTGAATGACTCACCGGTATTGGCTCTTTTTGGGTATATAGGGAGCTGAACTTGGAACCAGCCGATGTTGCACCACATAGTTGTCTGTGGAAAAATTGCGATGAAATTGATTAACTGGAAAAAAATGATTCACTTTAAATGTGTACTTTGTTCAAATGAATGGATTGTATTTACTTACCGTCAACGCTTTGATTTTCAGCGTGTACAATTGGATATGAGCCAGGTGAACCAGGTGCCGATTGTAGCACAATATCATGCAGTGGCGAATTTTCAGCAGACAAATTATCTACGTGAGGGCAAAAAATGAAATTATGAATACCAAAAATACCAAATTTAAATTGAATTTGATGATGGAATTAGTAGAATCTTCCAAAACATACCCATATGACTCGGCGATACCGGCGCAGATCTTGGCATACCATACGGTGTTCGGAAGCATTGGCTACCACGTTGGCGCCGTTTCTTGTAGCTTTGGTCAATTAATTTTGATTCGCTGTTTGGATCTATTCGCCAAAAACTACCCTTTCCGGGCTCATCCTGCGATCGTGCCACTTTGATGAAATATCTGAATAATAACGAAAAATGTTGATATTAAAAGATATAACAGAAAAACGAAATGACAAAAATGCGTATTCGAGTAGTGAATGTTACCTGTTCAAACTTAAATTATGGCGAATGGAATTTTGCCATCCTTTGTTTGCCTCTTTACGGTAATAGGGATAATGCTTTGAAATGAATGAATAAATTCCCGATAGTGTGAGCTGTTTCTCTGGCGATGCCGCAATCGATTGAACAATTAGCTGTGCGTAACTGTACGGTGGTTTCTCGAATTCATTGAACGATGATGACGATGGCGGAGGAAATAGATCCTGAAAATGTGTTGCAACAAAATTGATGAGCAAACATTCATATTTAGGCCAAAAGGATTTATTTGTGTTAAATAGCGTTGTACTTACAGTTTCAAAATCATGATTGTTACCGGCCACCCCACTACTGCTCGCCAAATGTCCCGTGGAATTGTTATGATGATTGTTATTGTTTTTGAGATGCTGGTACGTACTGTACACACTGGCTGATGTGCCTAACAGGTGGTCATTTCCAATATCACGATCAAATGTGATGGCATCACCGCGAATTTGGTAGTTTTGCCGTGGGCTTGTCGGACAACTGTTCGCCGCACTTATCGTACCCGTTGGAGATGGGAATGGACTGCGCTTGTCATGTTCGGGTATTGAAATTTTCAATGGCGCATATATCACATTTGAATTTTCCACGGCTTTGGTGGTCTTGGCCGGCATTTCGAACGGATGATCTACATAGCTCTCGAACAGAATGCGAATATTGGTGCTCGGAAATCGAAATGTACATCTGGACGAACATAGGGAAATTTCATTTATATTTTGATTGCAGTAAATTTGGACTTGAGAAAAAGTTTCTTTCTAAATTCAATTTTTTCTACATTCAATTCAAAAACTACTCATTTGCGTCCATTCAACTGAGAAAAACCTATTTCTACCCAACCATAACCGATAAAATGAAGAAAATTAGCCAATACTCACGCTTTTGGTAATTTTAATGGTTCAGAACTCTTGCGCTGGAATACATCATTGACGAATACACCGTTTTTACTCAAGCACATCAAATAGAAATTGTTGGTGCTACGATCAAATGTTACTTGCAGATGCTTCCGTGACACAAAACTATTTTTGCCCACATGAAAGTGTACTGTTGATGTCGATGAGTTTCGACCGATTTTTATTGACGCTACGAAGAAAATGCGGGAAAATTAATTAGCATTTTAATATGGATGTGAACCGAATGCATAATATTGCTTTCATTTGAAAAATACTCACAGACATTGTCAGTTATGTAAAGAACTTCATCTTTGTAGCACAAGCGACCGTAGACATTATGTGTCTGCTGTAAGGAATAAATGAAAAATATTACTTTATTTTTCCGTTCGAATTGATTTTTATTTCTTTAATTGATGCACTTTTCATTTGATTTTGTGTCATTTTTCTTTTCATTCGAAGAAAAAAAACAAACGGAAATACTTACACCCGGCTGAGATCGACGCGTGTCAAAAGAGTTGAGGTTATTTGTTGATGTGGTGTACAAAGTTGCCGGAGGCGGTGGTGGCGGAGGTAGAGTCTCTAAGTTCACTGAAATCAATTAGCAAACAAAACAATCAATTAAATCTCTCTTTAAAAAGCATATTTTTTCCGGGAAAATTTCTCGGTGAATGAATTACAATTCGTTTAAATAGTTATACGGGGAAATAAACGGTTGTATTCAACCATTAGCGTAACAAGTGTGGCGCTAAGCGTAATCTCATACTCGATCACGCTAGTAGATCGAGTGTATTGTAAATAAAATTATGCGTTTAGTTTGAGTTTATTAATAAATTGTCGTCATTTCCTTCGTCGTATTTACCTTTGACTGTATTGGTTGGTGAATTATCTAAAACCATAACATTGTTTTCGATGGCACGTTCAGCTGAATCGGCTACGGCAGCCAATAATACCATGTCCTCACCGGAACTGAAAATTGTTCGATAAAAAAGAATCGGTCGCATGTGGTTTGTTTGTTCTTTCGCTTATCTCAAAAATCGCAAATTCGAAAATGATATTGATCGACTTACCATATGCTCATTATCAATATGCAGTAATGTTAAACCAAATGACACCAAAGAAAATAAAAACAAATTGTATCTAGTAAAATCAATGCACTTGATACTCGATCGAATTTTAATTCACGATTGATGTTCTCGTACGCGGACGTAGTGAATTCAATAACTGCAAAACAATGAAAGAAGAAGATGAATTAAAATAAAAAAAATAAAGTAAATATTTACAAATTGATAGCGTGTGTTGATAGCCAGCGAATAGAGTCGGTATCATTGGTTTGCTTTCGTAGTACGTTGTTTGTCATTTGTCATTTCATTTCGCTCGATTTGCATGTTTTTTTTTTCTCAATTTGCTTGAGAGCAAATTTTCTATTTGCTTTTCTGCCTTAATTTCCGAAAAGAGGTTTGACATGCGTTTTGGTTGTTGTTGTGATTTACCCACGTGAATGGGACTGAATAATTTCAGTGATTCAATTGCCCGCATTCACACTGATACGTATGACAATTTTTTCGATTTTAAATTGTTCGCAATCGCAAATCAATTAACACAGTGATAGCGTGTGGTAGCGCCAAAACGTATGACCACATAGTAGTATGTAGCGACAACAACGCAGTCATAACAAATTAACTAAATGTTTTATTTACATTTTAGTGGCTGAGCTTTTGACTATGCTTATCGCTATCACACCACATACCATAATGATCGCCATCTCATTCGTTCACTCGCTCGCTCGCACTCACTCATATACACAAAGCGCCAGTGATTCATTCGCACCGATACACTTCTCTATCGCTCATTCCGTATCACATACACGGAATTCACTTGGCTTTGTTGTTGTCCGTGTGCTTTTTTTTGATATTTATTTCGGTTGATTGTGGTTATATTTTTATTATTGTTGCTGTGTTTATATTTTGGTTATTTTGTGAGTGGTATGCGTATTGACAGCAGCGCTTTGGCTTGATTTCGTTCTAAAGACGACATATTTCAGTTGTTGTTGCTCGTGGGCTGTAGGCGGTCAATAGATGAAAACATCATGATCATCATCACTGTTGCCGTTGCCGCTGTCTTTGCCGTAATGCCGAAACGTGCGCACATTTATCGCTGATGTTATGTCAATTTTGTTGTCGGTGTTCGATGACGTTGCCGCTTACGCATCATCACTTTTTTTTTCATTTGTTCGGTCTCTTTAAATGAACAATGGGTAAAAATGGTATGATTACCGAAAATCATCGGTCGCACGTATCCATGTATGTACCATTTAGCCAAAAAAAAAAACAAATCGAATGTCAGACAAAATTTATAATTTGCCGTAGTTGACGCATCGAGATGAAACTTGATAAAGTCATTAACATTGCAGAACGGGAGCGAGAGAGGGAGAGAGAGAGAGAGAGGCGGAGCACCTTTGTGTTGAAATGAAGCCAATCCAAAATTTGAACAACAATTTGGTTGCAATGGATTTTTTTTTCTCCCATCTTTTTGCTGTCTCAATTTTGAATTTGTTTATTGATTAGCGACCACGTTCTCTAAATAATACTTTTGAAGAAAAAAATCGGTTTATTTGTTCAAATGTCTAGGAGTTCAATAAGAGCTTTGTTGAAGACTCAATATTCATTTCTTGACATGTCGCTTGAAGAAGAAAATTCGTGCAATCGAAATGAACGAGCAAATTGCAGAAAAAGAAGCAGAAGAAACAATTTAACACAATCTTTATAAGCCTGATCGAAAATGACGTCATATGCGACCACGAACAAACATTTAGTTTATTGAAATGATGTGAAATGTCACGTTTAACGCACTCCCTTGTTAGTTAGGTTTTGCTCTCTCTCTATCTTTCTCACTCTTTCACTCTCCCTCTGTGTATCAAATGGTTGTCGCTATGTGAATACAATAACCCCGGCAAATTGAAATCGATCGAAAAATAGCATCAAGTTTCAAGCAATTTCAGGCTCGTAACTCTTCGATGAATTGACAACAGCCGCAGCAGCAGCAGCAGTGGCAACGATACTGTGAACGGACTCAAAACTGACTCTTGTGTACTGTTTATTAAATGCTCTCGTCAAGCTTACTCGACATATCGAACACCGAAAATAGTTGCAAAGCTAAACAAAAGTGTGTCATATGCATTATCATAAAAGGCATTGCTACTATGTGGCATTTATTGGTCGTTGATAAGCTCATCACGAGTGTAAGCAGCAACGAAAATTTTCTAATATTCAGAGATACAAAAACAAAAAATGACTGATGATCATGTTTGACACACTAGCGAATCAATGTGTTATTATCTATTATCAGACCCAAACAAAAACACAGAAAAAACAAGTGGCAACAAAGCCCAAATATCGACTATACGTACAACAGCAGCAACAACAACGAAAATTATATTGTTAAATAACATTGAGAATAAACAATGAAGTTGATCAATAATTATCGACACGTTGTCGTGGCCAAGCGATTAGAGTGAAAATAAACAAAACGGTTGTTTTTCTTCTGTCTCTTTGATAATCGCTCAATAAAATTGGCTTTGATATTAATTTGGAGCTGCGTTCACTGTGGGAAATCTATGCGATATATTCACAAGAATCGAAAATCATTTGATTTTCGGCTTGGAAACAATATGAAAGAATAACGACGGCGACGACGACGCTGCTCCGCAATCGAAATCCGTGCTTGTTTTGTTGTTGTTCGATTTTCATCGAAACAAAAATACCACACAATCTATTTACATTCTTATTAATTTGCTTGGGGCGATGACGAAAAGCATGCGAACGAACCGCTAAATTCCCTTAGCACGGCCACTCATCCTCTTATTCACTCTCTCTCTTTCTTTTTTACTCCCATTGTCTCGCTCACTCGCATTCATTTCTATTACACACCAAATATAAGCATGAAAAAAGAGAGTATTCTTCCCATATTACGTATTATGCTTGCACACACAATAAAATTCAATAAATGAACAACAAAAAAATTATGCACACGACACATTCCTTGGCCAGCGCTTGAGTAAAAGAAAATTTGCGCTACAATGCAAAATGTTTTGTCGGTGTCGTTGTCGTCGACATCGTCGACGTCGTCATCGTCGTTGCCGCCCTCTTCATTTATTATTACCATTTATTTTTATAAACACAAACAAATCGGTATACACAAAACGGCTTGTCGCCGCCACTGTCGTCTTCGTCGTTGTTGTTTTGACCGAAATGTGCCGCAATTTCAAATGTCGAAATGTATTCTCAATTCCATGCAAAAAACCAATTCTCTGGCGATTCTACCACCAATATATGCACCATGTGATTTATTTAATTTTATTTCGACAAGAAATGGACACACACAATTTGTCCACGGACAAGTGCCAATGAATACTTTGAAAATTTGCGATTGTCAATCGAAATTTATTCCATTTCAAAAACACATTTTTTTTCACACAAAAAAAATCAACCCTTAGAAGCGGCGCGAGAAGGAATAAAACCGAAATTCGCCATCCGAAAAACCAAATACAATTAACTCACTTGCAAACAATCCGCGTGTTTTCCGGAATTTCAAAAGCAAATTATTTATTAACAAGTCACATCATACACACTAAACAAGAAAACACAATTTCCGAAGAAAAATCACAAAAAATTCGCATGAATTAGAAGATAAAAGCAGAAATAAAAATAAAAACAATAACAACAAAAAAACCAACGACTCTTCGATCGAAGCACAAACGGAAAATTGCATAAAAACCAAGAACGGGCAGCAAACGTGCGGCCCAAACAATTTTTTTCTATATATTAATTGTTTTCGATTTGCAAACACCGCGTTTACAAATATACGTTGGGTTCGTTGTATATGCTTGATGTTCTTGTGCACACGATTTCATTCACTTTTCATCTCTCTGTTGCCATGCAGAAAAGCACAAAGTCGAAGCACAAACATGTATGCGGACACACACAGCACACACACACACATATTCAAAGCGAGTGGAGCAGTGAGAAGAAGGAAGAAGAAAGAAAGAAAAAAACGGCAATGTAATAAATGTAAATATTATGGTTACCGTACACACACGGGCACTGTAAACGATGGTAGTTGTGTGAGCATATACATGTGCACACAACGAAGCGAGCGAGCGAAAGAATGAGAAGGAGCAGAAACACACTCGGCCACAGGCGGAGAGGAATCATCAGCAGAGGAAGAACAATACACGCGTGTAATATAAAGCAAGGAGTCGATACACCATCAACACACCGTGTATTTTCTCGTCAATTTTTCGAAAATTGACTATACCAACAAATTACACCGAAAATATGCAAATACAATTTACAGTACCAGTCGATATCTGGTGCGAGAACAAAAAAAAATGAAATAACGACCGATTCGTATGAATTGACTTTGACTCTATCCTTCTCTGTCTTTCTCTCGATTTATCTCTTTCTTTCTTTCTTTCTATCGCCGTCGTCAACTGGACGAAATGAAATAAACAAAAGCAACAACAACAATAACATTGACGCTTACTTCAGTCATACCAATCTGAACACATGTGTACATTTCAAGCATAACAAACATTATCCCTGTCATTGTTATGTGTTTTTGCAAAAGGAATCGTCAATACGTTTTTCCAACGACATTGGCGCTACACTTGCATGGAGAGCGAGTGCAAGAGAGAGAGACAGAGAGAGAGAAAGAGAGAGAGAGAGAGAGAGAGAGAGAAAGGAGGCAAATACAGACCAATGCATCTGGCCAATTGTTCAATGTGATTTGGTCGTCCGAATCCACAAAACCATATCATCAAGCATATTTAATAATATACGATCATTGCATCACCTTGCAAATGTGTCATCATCTCATTTCAACGTAAAATACCGTGCGACAAACTCAAATCGACTGAAATTTGGATAGAATTTGGAATAAAGTACCTTTTCGGGATTGGCAAACCAATGCGAAAAGAGTTTTGCACGTGTTTCGCTTGTATGGAATTTGCTTGGCCGCACACGCACACACACCCATACATAGACGAAAACATACACACGCACACACTCAATATCCGCAATACTCACTCACACGCACGCTCACACACACTCGTACCGCACAATGAAAACAACAACAAAGTTTCGGATGGAAACTAAAATTCTGAGCCGTAATGAAAACAGAATCTATACTCAGTAATAATACATAAAAGCCCCAACCACCACTGTACACACACGTCCGTGTGCCGTTGTTCGTTCTCTGTCTTGTGTTAAATTTGCACAAGCGTGCGGAAACTGCGTGCAAAATGGGCTAGAGTGAGATGAAACGAGGAGCGCTTGGCACTTGGTTGGTGAGAACCAACAGCATACACACAATGGCATAGATATGAAAAAATGTGGTTTTCTTACGAATTCAAACACACAAATTTCAACCTGATAATTCCGATTAGCAATTTGTTTTGATTTTTTCTCTCTCTCTTTCTCTCTCTTCCTCTCTGTTTTTCACATTGCTCACTTGAAACCGATTTACAAATTCATTCGTTGCGATTATATCAACCGAAAATAAGGAAAAAATATTCGATTGCACGATTTGAAAAAAAAAAGAAAATGTTGCACATAACCACACTCTGTCTCTCTATGTATACATATATGTATATTTATATCTACGCGGTTCGGAATTGCACAGCGCAATATTTGTTTTGATATGAAAAATTTCGTCGCAAATCTTACACTTTTCAACACTGTGCAACAACAACAACAACAACAACAACAACAAAATTTAGCAACTCACAAAAATCGAATATACAATATGCCTGAACAAAATCAAAATATTTTAATCAATTCAATGATATGCACCTTGAGAAATTCGGAAATTAACAACAAAACGCAGGGGAAAAAAAACACAAAACTGGCAAGTGGAAAGTCAAACACGCAAAAACGTTTGTTGGTTCGTTCGTTCGTTCTTACGACGAAATCCAAAACATTAAAACTATACGACAAATGACAATTTGTTTACGTGCCCATTGACAAATACATACACTTTGACTTCGACGTTGTGTGTCGGTCGTCCTCTCTTGTATTTATTTTGAATATGAGATATATTCCAAGTCTGCATACACAACACTGAGCGAAAGAGATAGATTTGCTTCGATAGAGAAAAACGTAGCGCGCTACGGAGACACTTTATTGTTGTTGAATAGTATTACTATTTTCTCTCTCTTCTTCCTTTTCTTTACACTGTATGTTTTGATGTTGATCTGTGTGTTGTTTTTGTTGATTTTTTTTTTTCTTTCTGTTCTCCACACACCGTTTTCCGTATTCCGCTGCAAATATATTTTGCTGTTGTCGTCCGCTTCGTCTTCTATTCTCTCACTCTCGTAATCTCGATGAACCGTTTTGGTCTTTAGAGTCGTCAAACACTTTAACACTTTTAGTGTTGACGTGATTCGACGTTAGTTTAATATTTGAAATAATATCGTGTATTGTTATCGTTCTTACCGCGCTCTCTCCAGCTCCCTCACACTTTTACACTTTTTCTTACTATCTAACTCTCGGTGTCTTTCTCTGTCACCACGGTTGCTGTGTGTGTGTGTGTGTGTTGTTTTATTTTTCTTCTTGCCAAAAATGATTCTTACTCGGTATTTACATTCGGCGTAAAAAAATCTGTTTGCTTATGTATCAGTCGGATGATGGTGGTGGTGGTAGTGGTGGTGCTGATGTTCTATGGACATTAATCGATCCACATGTGTATGTGTGCACACTGTGTACATATAGGGGCAGCATCCATTGATTGTATGCGTTTGTGTAGTTTACCTCACTCACTATTGCCTCATCTCAACACATAAGCGGCTAAAATCAACAATAGGTTTTTTTTTACTCGTTCTCTTTCTCTCTCTCTCTCTTGACCTCTCGCTCGTTTTTACCCAAACACATTACGCGCGCACTGTACAACACACAGAACGCAATACAATAGAGAAACAAACCATGTGGTTGGATAGTGATAACACATTGAAACGTTGATTTGTATCCAATTTATTTGCTCGGTCTGAGTGCAAAATGTTAAATGTGCATTTTTCTGCCGTTCAAAATAGCATTTCTCTCTTATTTTATTCAGTTTCAAAAATCATTCACATTCAATCCAATTGTGGTGCTGGTCGCTGCTTCTTCTTTTTTTTCTAATGCGAAAAACAAACAGAACGTTTTTTTTAGCACATGCGCGCTCATTTCACAGCACTTATTGAATAAACAAAAATCCTTTGTTGAACATTCAACTATCGATCTTTTATCGCGACAATTAAACAAATACGTAAGCAATTACCGTCCGAAATGCGGTCCTTTTTTTAACTTTTTGGATGGTTACAAAATGGGATTGTTTACATAAATTCCTGTTTGAGAAGGACGAAAACAAAAAAAACTATTTTGATTGATGGAACATCATTTGGAATGTGGTTGAGAATTGAACGCATCCATTTGCCGTTGAATAATCAACGGAATTTGTGCAAAGAAAATGATTAATTGAGATAAGAAAAAGAGAAAGAACCCAGATCTAAACTTTTAACAATGTCTAAATTGGCCAAAACCAAAGAGGATTCCCATCAAATCTCCCAATAATCTCGAAAAACTAAGCTTCTTATTTACTTCTTTCAAATGCTCAAGGCGACATTGAACGAAGGCTACGATTGACATTCAAGAGAGTTCAAATGTTTACCCAACTTAACCTCAATCGAAGTGATGGATTCTGACAGCCAGTGTCAGTTGTGTACGATCAGAGTTTTTTTTTTCTCAATGGTATTACACTTTGGATGTGTATATATGCCAATACAGAGTAGAAAAAAAAGAAGTTATTACCGAAACCGAATTGAGCGAACCGAGTGAACTGTGAGGGAAATTTAACGAAATCTAAAGTGAACAGTATCAGTACGTGGACGCGACACGCGTATTGATGTGTGTCTTACATAAAGAAAATCTCAAAAAAATTCATTTTATATTAGTCAATTTCTAATTGTGCAAACAATTTAATTTTGGGTAATTAAAACGTTTTTCATTCTGCTGTAACATAGAATAAGATTGTTATAGTCTGTGTGTTATTTTACTATGGCAAGAGTAGCGACGCGAATATTTTGAATAAAAATTAGATATTAATTTATCCGAAGTACAATGAGATCAAGTGAATTTTTGATGTGCAGATCTGAATATTTGTTGGGAAAGAGAAAGACTGAGAAAAGAAAAATAGAAACAAAACCATTGAGAAAAAAGGTCATGAGAACAATGCAGTTTTCCAAATGCTATTGCAGTCTGTGTTTCATGTCGATAAATGTCAGTGATAAATTCCATTTTGATACGATTTCCGAATGGCTATGTTTTGTTTGTTTTCTTCATCGGTTATACGGAGTTTGATCATATTTTAATAATATTTTGACGCAGTCTGTGCCCAAATACATTGATACGATTTAAGAAGCGATATTCTATACCGTGCAATTCTCCGATTTCCCGAGTGTATGTAGTTTCAGACATCGACGAAAAACACTATCGTCATCAGAACGCGTTGACAATTGTCGTCATTTGTGCTTGCTCTCGTGAGCTGTGTGTGTTCTGTTTTTTTTTCTCTCTAGATAACACTGGGTATAAATCAGTTTTTTCGGTGTTTTGTTGAATTTTTTTCGAGAGAGAGAGAGAGAGAGAGAGAGAGAGAGAGCGACATTAAAGTGTCAACTACTAATAATTTTGCCCATGTGACTGAGTGGAAATCATTAATTATCGGTTTTATGAGCTTATATCAAAACTGTTGAATGATTGTGTGAAGGGTTAGAAAAAGCGTTTTCACCAACAAGAACAACGAAAAATACCGAATTGTGCGGATTTGTGTGTGTGTGTGTGTATGTCTTGTCTGGTTTTTGGTCGAAGACTCAATAGAAATTCATTATCAGCATCGGTGAACTGAGCACACGAAATTTCATTTATCACGTATTATTACTAAACCATTGAAGCCATAGATTAGATTTAATAATTAATTTAATAGCACGATCGATTCAAATTCTTTTTTGTTTGTCTGTTGGTCTCACTGGATTTGCAGATACGGTGTCAGGCGCGAGAAGGTCGAGGTAATTGCAAGAACACATTTCAAAGCAACACTCAATTAAATGTCAGCTAGAAATTAACGCAGGCACACACAGTACGATTCGTGAATAGAACATCGTATTCGCGTTACATAGTCCACAAGAAATAGTATAAATACCAAAACAGTGAAAAGGAAAGCAAAAAAAAAAAAAACGGAGAAAGTGAAAAAGAGCGAGAGACGAGAGTAAGAGATAAGGAATAAAATACAGTAGCAAATCAACAATGTCGCCGCAATTAATCAACAAAGTATTGAATCAGAATTGGTTTGTGTCAACACAAATGAAAGAGATGCGTCGGTCAGCAACAGTATTGGAAACAACGAGCGCCCTTCAAGTATTCCATTGCATTGAAAATGCGGCGGCAAAATTCATTCGCACAATGAACCATCGGCATCATAGGATGATGCTTTGTGTCATTGTATATTGTCTAGTACTTAGTTTGAATTCTATAAAATATGTCAACTGTGATATTGAACCACATCCCGTAAACAATCAGTTTGGCGATGATGATGATGCGATCGGTGTCGGTGCGGCTGTACCACGCATACCAGTAAGTTGAACAGTATTTTCTTATTTCGATCAAATGATTTCTTTCCAATTCAAGAATTAATTTAATGAAAAAACATTTTTTTTTCCTGCATGTGAAGGTTCCAGCCAAGCCAATTGAGACACAAAATGTCAACGATGCGATTGATTCACCTGATAATATCAACAAGAGCAATAATTACGATAACATACTGGGTGATTCGAAATTCTTGCATGCATTCATTGGATCATTATCGGTGATTGTTGTGTCGGAATTGGGCGATAAGACCTTCTTTATCGCTGCAATCATGGCTATGCGACATCCACGTATGATTGTATTTGTGGGTGCGATAACCGCACTCGCGCTCATGACTATTTTGTCGGGTACGTTTCCCCCTCCCCTCCCATTCTGTCAACGCTCTCTACTCAGTTTTTATCAATCGATTCAAAGAATATGAAAAATCGACGATAGAAACGAGACTTTAGAAAATGAGACAGAAAATCTGAAAATTGATGGACATTTTTTTTTTCAATTGAATGATGATTCATTTGTTTGCTTATTTATTACGCGTTGTCTATTTTTAAACAGCTGTTTTCGGTCAATTAGCAACGTTGATACCACGTGTCTATACTTACTATATTTCAACGGCACTGTTTGCTATATTCGGCTTGAAAATGCTTCGTGACGGCTGGTATATGTCACCGAACGATGCACAAGAGGAATTTGAAGAGGTGCAATCCGATTTGAAGAAGCGTGAAGATGAGGTAACCCTCAATGTAATTATATATTCAGGCACGGTCTATTTGTACGATAAAAATCGTACGGTAAAATTTACGTTTAGCCTTACAGGCTATTCGTACGGTGAATTTCAGAATTTCGTACGAATAGATATAGAGACTAAACGTACGGATCGTGCGAATAATAATTTTTCTCCGTATGTTTAGTCTCCATGTCTATTCATACGAAATTCTTAAATCCATCCATATAAACGAAAAAAATGATTCTGTTTCGAAAAATGGTAGCAATAAACAAAAAAAAAACAACAACAACAAACCAATTTGATTAGTCATTTTTGGTGAATTGTGTTTGGGCTGCAAATCATGATTGCAATCAAACTGATTGATTGTACTGTCTTTAAGTGCAAAAATCAACTCGGTCTGTCTGCGTGAACGATATTAATTGCTAATTCGGCAATTTCGGATTCAAAACAATTGATCGGTCTACAATCGATTGTTTTGAACCCAAAATT